GTGTGTGTAATCCAATGTGCTGCTGCTCAGCCTGTGCCATGCTCTCTCCTCTGTTGCTGTGCGTCTGATCAGATCTGCCTCCGTCAACCTGTTTGCCGTCTATGGCTCACAGACGCACACACACTTTTTCTCTCCCTCTCTATTTCACACACAGACACACACGCACGTTTCAGAAGCTGTTACTACTTATCAAGCCTCCTTCAAGCTTGGGAAAAACAACATTCATTCAGCCTTGGTTTCGCCGCCGCCAAGTGATGTGTTACCTGCTGCACTCCAAACACCTGAGCGCGCGCACACACACACACACACAGTGAAAGAAAGGGGAAAATGGACTTAAAGAGAGTGTTTTGCCCCTATTTTTCTCTCCTTCAGTCTAAAGTAGCCTACCAGGAAAAAGAAAAAGTGCATTTGTGTTGGAATGAGATCACACTGTTCCCTTAAAAAGTATCCACTCCTTTTGATCCCTTCACTCCAGTTTACAGCGGTCACTTCAGCTCACTTTGGCCCCTTTTTTAGCTTGTGGAAAACAACCTTTATAACTCTCTCTTTCTCTCTCTCTCTCTCTCACACACACACACACACCTGTATACTTACATACTTACAGTGACACACACACACACATGCACACGCACCTCCACAGCACTTCCCTTTAAGTGCAGAGCCGTGCAGCACATGTCATCATCACACACACACTCACAGACCTGCATTAATGCCACAAAAAGCCCAGTAAAGTCACCTTAGGATCCTTCTGTGTTCCAGACGAGCCCCTTCTTCACACTCTTCCTCTCCTCTTTTAGACTTCTCTCTCCTCCTCTCCTCCTTTCCTTCCGTCCTTCCTACCGTGCTATCCGTCAGTCCTTCTTCTCCCTCTCTCTCTCTTTCACTCTTCGTTTCGGTACTCGGTCAGTTCCCAGCGTTTTTCCCGAGCCCCTCCATATCCGCCCAGCCAGTCGTTTCTAACCGCCGAGCAAGCGTACCTACACACACACACACGCACACACACACAAGCCGCTTCTGCGTTCCTATGGTCTCTCTCGCTCTCTCCCTCTGTTTATTCCTCTCTGAGCTCGCGCTCTCCCTCTCTCTCTACTGTCGGAGAAGAGCTCGGTGAGCGTGTGTATGCGCAAGTTTGTGTACGTGTGCGCGCGCGTGGATGTGTGTGTTCCTGTGCTGTGCTGCTTTGCCCCGCCAGCAGCAGCAAGCAGCAGAGGACTTCCCCCGGTGCCCGCCCTGGGTCCTAGAGAGAGCTCTGTTCCCTGAAAGAATGCCATTGTGTACGGAAGACATGTCCAAAGATCGTCTATAATCTTAACAAGACGATTCATTCACCAGTTTTTTACCACACACACACACACACAGACACACACACACACACACACACATACACACACACACATATATATATATGTAGTAAAAAAAATGCAGTAAAAAAAGGTAATATGATAATATTAAAGTATAATGATTATCATATTACCTTTGATTTAATAATAAATCTTCTAAATCTTCAGTAAGGTGCATTTTGAACACACAAACATTACTAAATTAAGGAACTAATATATCTATCTATATAGATATAGATTTATAGATATATATCCTTGTGACATAGATACAAATAATTAAGTATTAGAACATAAGAAGGCTATTCAACAAAAGGTTCGATTAGCCATTATGACATCCAAAGGTAAAATGTGGGATTTTATTTATTTATTTATCTTTAAGCCAGTAAGTTGTTTTGATTCTGTACCCAAGTGGTCGCTATGGCAACAGCAGGGCAGAGAGGCAGATGCAGGGAGTCATGCAAGGGAGTAGAAGCTGTTATAGATGGCGGATGGAGGGGCATTCTGTCCTTTTGCACATCAACTAGACTGAGCTCCGTTGGACGCATTTGCCCGGGTCATAAATCACATATTCATTTGCTCATGTCAAGTAGCCTTAACACCGCTTCCTTTACCTTCTCTGTCTCTCTCTCACGCACACAGGCACGCGCACACACGGGGTTCACTCGGGTCTACTTAGAAAAACTTGACTGCGTCGCCGTGTGAGGCAGAAGTACAGCACCTTTAAAATATGGCGTACGCCTTTCTTTCTTAACAGAGTGAGTCATCTTCTTGAACTCGTTTAATCTCCCGTGCAGCTACCTTCTTCCTCATCTCCCTCCCCCTCCCTCCTCTCCTTTCCCCATCCTGCCTCAGAGCGTCATCAGGTTACCATAGCAACGGCCCGCCTATGGGAGACAGAGATCAGATCATTATGGACCATGGGATCCAGAAACTGAAGGACATGATTTTTTTTTTTTTCCTGTGAACACAGGAAGCAGGAACCCTTAACAGGAAGGCTTGAACACCTTCTTAGTTAAACAGCCAGAGTAGTGAGAACTTTGACTGAGCAGGTTTTTTGACGGGCAAAAAGCAGCTTTGATAATCCATTTAAACCCTTCAATAACATAAGTAATGCGTGCCTACCACTCCTGCACGTTGCTAAAAATAGAGTAAACTTCATTAGATATGCAAAATAGGGTGCTTTGAGATGTAAACACGTAGCCTCCAGAAACAGTTCACCAGAACTTGCTTGCCACACTTCTGAATTAATGAATCTGACAGACGTGGCAGTGATCAGCCCACTGAGAGCCCACAGCAAGGAAATCCAAATGTGCTCTCTTTTTATATATATGGGCGGGGAAATGGAAGCGGGCAAAGTGCGGTGCTTCAAGTTGAGCTCAAAACGCACCAAGGAAACTGTTTTGTTTAATAAAGATCAAAGACAAGTGTTGGGAGAATGAAGTGTGTTTACAGGCCCTCATATCCAGGCTGCTTCGCCGTGCCCCTATTATTAGAGGGAGGCCGTGTGTGTGTGTACGTGTTTGCATGTGTGCTTGTATTGCAAGCCTAGGGGGCTGCATTAAGCTGAAGCGACAGAGGGGGATCTTTAAGATGTCTTCCAAAGTTTGCTATTGAGAGAGATCTTATCTCTGAGCCCCACAAACAGCCTGGGAGAGGAGAGACGAGCCGAGGCTTAAGACAGTGAAGGAAAAACAGAGTCCAGGTAGCAGCACAGCTAAACAAGATATGTGTGATGATTTTACTCGTCAGCTACTGGTTATCTTGTAAGTTTTAAGACTGAAACTGGGATCAAGTCATTCACTGCCGTGGAAATACACACCAATAGAGCATTTATTACAGGTTTACTATAGTCACTAATGATGCAGTCAGCTACGTCAGTTATTGATCACACAGATATAACCCGGGTGATTAAATCAGTCAGGTTACTACTTTGATCCAGCACCAGAGGACCAAGTGTGTTTGGCATGTAGAGTGATGGGTAATTTCAGCAAAGAGTCCGTTCAGTTCAGAATTCGGATTAAAATCAGCAGGAATTTATTTAATAATTGAAATGCTGAATTGTTCTTGTTCCGCCCCTGTCATCAAACAGCCAATCAGCAATAGGATGGAAAAAAGAAGCATTGTTGTCCCACTGCATTTGGACAGCTAAAGTTCCCCAGTGTTTATTGGCACACAAATTTTTAATCTCCAAGTCTGTGGTTATCATAATGAGTAAGTAGACAAGTGTAGTCATTGTATTTCTTGGCTAGTCTTAGCCACAATGTGAATTAGCCTGGCACTGGCTCCAGGCTCTGGTGGGTTAAGCCAGACAGGAAGATCATGTCAACACATTAAGAAAAAGCCTTAGTGTTATGAAAATGTGCCCACATGAAAAACTAACTTGCGGTGAAGAAAAAGATTCTTACAACCTATTTTGCCACACAAAGCATATTTTATCAAATACAGCAGGGTTTGAAAAACTAGGCAGCAACCTCTGGGGCTAAAGAACGGACTGTACTGGACTCATTTATAGGTATAAGCATTTCAAACTGCCAATAAAAATAAAGAAATATAAAAGAGTCAGGAGAAACACCCTTCAATCATGTCGCGAGTGTTGATGTTGCACAGTTTGTCCACCAGAGGGCAAATTCTGTGTCGGCAGCACACGTTTGGGATGCAAAAAACAACAACTGGTTTTTATGTCCATCTCTAAAATAACTAAACTGCTATATGCCCTGTTGGAAGTTCCATGAATAGCCACTCGAGGCTAGCTCCAAACTTGGACAGTTTAATAGATCGATGTCACCCACTGGTTAGTAAAGTCCTATTATGAAGCTCCAGTTGAATGTTTTCGCTGTTGTCATTTTGTTGTGATGGCCTAGACCAGATCTGTTTGTGAAACCACGTTCTCATTGGCGAATTACTTCTTAGAATGACTATAATTTATAAAACTGACTTAATGTTTTAATCAATATAAGCAGAAATGACTGACTGAGGCCATAATCTCATCAGGAAACTGTTTACAGTGTTCAGAGCCAATGAAGGACTTCTTGCAGACTTCTGCAGGACTGGAAGTCGTTTTGGTCTCCATTAGATGAATGCTGAGTTAAGATACTTCTACGTTACCTTCAAACCTGGAAGCTTGGTCTTTGATAGTGTTTGTGTCTTCAAAAGAGGGATACTATTTAACTCAATACTGGATGCAATTTTAGTATTTTATTTGTATATTATTATTAGAAATGGTAGCAGAGGTTCTTTGTTTTAGCAGTCCTGTCCACAGTGGGACTGGAACATTTAATTAAGTGGTTATAAATGTCTGTCATTATTGACAGTTCATTTAAATTACATTTCAGTGATGCATTTCATTTGCCGCTTAACACATATACAGCCGAACTGCAACAGAACAGCACGATAGGGAAGGAGAAATGGAGAGAGTCTGTTAAAGAAACCCAAGCTGCTGCTACAGACAAACATATTATTTTATGATCACAACATTGTCAGATAAAATTAACTAAACTGCAGGTGTTGCCAATCCACAGACTGCATTTACGCTAGGCTGACACCTAATCATGCAAGCCAGACTTCCTCCAGATGTGCCACAGTACAAATTATGGTATTTCGGTTTACTGTGTATGCATTGATGCCCTCTATTAATATGTGTGTCCTTTAACCACAAAAATACATGTTTACTTATTTATGTGTTGTGTTTCAAAGCAGCTCCATCTTGGGTCAGCATGCTGACAACCAGTTAATTACATATTGTGACTGTGGCATCACTCATGATGATTTAAATTATGCTCAACTAAACACTTCTAATCACAAACTACATTGCTGCATCCACCTGAAACCCAAATAAATCTCCAATATCTTTGTGGATAGCGAGAACATGACAAACTGCTTGCATTATTGGGTTCTACTTTGTTTAACAATGCCAGCGCCCCCAAAACTCCAAGAGCTAATTCGTTTTTAGTTGTACCAGCAATTCCCAGCTGGTCTTTACTAGCTGAAACAAGTAGAGCCTGACTGGTTTATCTGTGAGCTGATATTATCAGCAGATATTAGCTATTTGCCCGTGTCATGATATCAGCATGTATAACTGCCAATGAATAATAATAATTATAAGAGGAATTGACAAGGGAAACACCCTTCAACCATTTTACAAGTTTTGATGTTGCATAGTTCAACCACCAGAGGGCAACACACATGTTTGGGCAGCCCGTTCTCACTCCCGACACGTAACACACTGACGATTTGTCACATCCTGAGGCGTTCCATGGGAATAACTAACAGAAACAAAACAGAAACAGAGATGCAGGGAGGCACGACAGACGGAGAGACGCAGACGAACCAGCAACGAGGACGAGGTAACACACACTATAAATACACACACCAGGAATCAGGGGATGGGAAACAGGAGGGGACCACACCTGGAAGACATCACAGCTGACGAGGCAGGGAAACGTAAACAGAACGCACTGACATCAGACAGGGACCTTCAAAGTAAAACAGGAACACATACACGCAAAGACACAGACTAAGAAACGCGAACTAAACACGGAGACCTTACTACACTAAAGGGGACACACAGGCAGGGATGACACCAAACAGAGGGAACACAACTAAACCCTGGGAAACCAAAACACAACAGTCATAATACATAAAACTATCAAAAGTAAAAGTACAACAACCAAAAACACTGGGTCCCTGACCCAGGACCATGACACCGTCTGCGTTCCTATGCAACGCGCCAAATTACGGATGAAATCGAATAGAATGACGCTCCCGCGATAACACACGTTCCAGCCGTGTATTCCAGCCCTGACCCTGATCTTGTCCCTAACCGTAACCGCCACCTTAAATGTGTTAG